AAAATGGATTAATGGTGATTAATGGTGATTAATGGTGATTAATGGTGATTAATGGTGATTAATGGTGATTAATGGTGATTAATGATAGTTAATGGTGATTAATGGTGATTAATGATAGTTAATGGGATTCACCCTCTGGTTATTTAACATAGCCATGGGAAATGACCCATAGAAAAAGATGGTGTACCTATTAAGAATGGTGATTTTCCATGGCTATGTTGAATAACCAGAGGGTAAGGAAAATGGTCTGGTCCGGCAATTTTAAGGGTCGGCTATTTGAATAGGGAAATTCATGATGATTTACCCTCCAGTAAATTAACATAGACCCTGGCAGACAGGGGTTGGAAGATTAGTTTCCATGAAAACTAGGTTATTTTCAGGGTCTATGTTAATTTACCAGAGGGTAAATATGATAAAATAGTTTTAATGATTGTCGCTTGAAGTGGTAAACCAATGATCGACGACCAACCCAGTTGAGGTCTGAAAAAATGACCAGCATCTTATGTGGCTTTGTCCGAAAATTTATGTGGAAAAAAAACGAAGAATCCATTGGTTCATCGTCATTATCGCTATGAAAATTGCCGGCATATATATATATATACACATGTATATATATATATATATATGTATATATATATGTATATGTATATATATATGTATATATATATATATGCCGTTTTCAGATACACCCATGTAGATCACGTGCATGCTGTCAAAATCCCTATTGCTCAGACACTACGGCCAAATGGTTTAGTGCAGAATTGTTGGCTGTAGTATTTTGCCCTCAATAAGTTGTGAAGGGGAATATCAGTAGGGTAGTGTACTGACTTTAAGTCAAAAAGTATATAGGCGTAGGACAGAATTGGGTACCCCAAAAATGGTTTGGATAGGTGCCACACAAAAAAAAATATATAACCAAATGCGCAGCATCCGGGTCTAAAATGTTTGATCCATACGCGTCACCCCAATAATGCAACAGTGTATCATCATCTTCCATGTTAAAATTGCTATTTAATGGGGCACACAGTTTTATTACAACGCCCATCTCCATGAATTATTCATTGGTGAAATACCTAGTTGTTCAATTTTGACTAGGGAAATCCCCGTTAGTCAAGTTAGTGGTGGATGGTCATGTCGAGCCCCCAGACCCATGTCCTCTTCAAGAGATTCTGACTTCTCAACTCCTACATGATGGGGCCCCCCAGTGATGTTTGTTGGTTTATAACCGCCGGTAACTATAGTTGTCTAATCTATAGCTCTACGTATACCATAAACATCCATAAAACATCGAATTCAGCCACAGCCATATCTCAACTTCGCCCGCGAGCTCGCTCAACTGGTGCTCCATCCAGTTCAAGTCGGATCGATGATTGGACTAACCGGATTTAGCCCAGGGTAAACTAACACATTTATATGGAAGACCCCTGGTTTCCTAGTATAGTATCATATTATCATATTACCATAGTATAGTATATAATCATATTATCATATTATCATTAGGGTATATGATCATAGTATCATATTACCATAGTATAGTATACCCTCTGGTGAACAAACAAAAAGATATTGAAAATGGCCATAGAAATAGTGAGTTTTCCCATTAATAGCATGGTGGATCTTTCCATTTAGTTTTTTGAAACGTTTACCAGAGGGTATGTGGAAGATCCCTGGTTTCCTGCCCTACAAATGGTGGCTTTTTCCACATCGAACTGTTGGTTCACAGGACCCAACAAGCACCCCGACCCCCGAGCCAAGGAGCATCTTTTTCGCTCCGGTCATGTTCAAACAGCAGCAACCGCCGATGCACCTGACGTCTGCAGGTTTTTCTGATGTCATGTCAATCCCCGAATTCAGACATCTCAGAAACCTCTGGTTTTTTTTTGGGGTGGTCCATTTCAATAGCAAACGGATGCAACTGGTCACATTTCAGGAGTGTTACCTCCCTTTTTCCAGCCGTGCTTATTCGGATATTCAATGGATTGCTTTAGGGGAGAATCGACAGGAAACCATGTATATATATATATATATATATGTTCCCATTAAATATGGGATAGATGGGGCTTTCCGGTTAAAATTTTCCCTTAAACCAACCCCTTTAAAACCCCGCTTTGGTATTGGATCTAGTGGTCTCCCACTGATGGGCTTTGTCACTGGCGATACACCGGCACCACCGAGATGTTGCGAACTTCTGCGCGAAACGGTCCCATTCGAAAACCCACAGAACCACGCAGTCCGGGCATTTTTGGCACAATCCCTTCTTCCAGTTGGCCTAACACTGCGCATGGATCCACAAAATGGTCGTCCCCTACCTTTGGAGCCTACAAAACACCCTTATTGGTTGTCTCCCGAAACATTGCGATAATCCATGAATCTAGTAGTTAGATGTAGTTTAGCATGTTAGAGCCAAAAAAACCCTGTTGACATGCCCAGTGGAAATGTCAAGCCAAGCGTTCAGCTGATCGTTGATCCCTCAACCTGAGGTCAGGACAAGCAGCGTCCGTCCAAGATCACCCTCTTGGATCGTGTCATCACCGCCATTTCCGTCACCCGCTCGGAACAAACTTGAGCTGAAAATTGGCCAATTTTGGCAAAATGACCCTCCAGTCAAACGTGGTTCCATTAAACAAAAACTAATGTTTTGTTGTTTAATGGAAGTTCTATAGAGATCTATAGAGGTGCCCATCATCTATCATCAATTCGTGTTTTTTTAATTGCCATCTTTGATTGCCAGAGGGTTTGCTGAAAATTGGTCTGGAACTTGACGGATAAACCCCCAATGTATTGATGATGGTTGAACGGCTGGAAACCCCAACGTTTTGGTGGTGCGAGATGAAAGGTGGGATTGCTTTAAGGGAAAATTGAAACCGGAAACCATGGTTTTTACCAGAAAAAGGTGTGTTCCTGTAAAATTTCCCTTGCACCAATCCAATGAAAGGGTAATCCTGGAGACTCTGTTTACTCTTTCTTTGGTGCCGTGCCATGGCACCACATCGCTTCCCGGGCATTTTTCACCACAACCGTGTTGGGCAACACGTTGTGAAGCACACGATACTGCTGTCAAACAAGAGACAGGTTGCAGTCATAATTTGGTACACACACATTATACGTGTGTATATATATATAAGATTATATCAGCACAGTTATCGGGCTTGTATCCCAACCGAGGAGGAAATTTGGATTGTTATATCAAATCCTTTTGGATCACTTAGGACGACTTTTTGGATCACTTAGGCCGACAATCTTGGATGTGGATTCAAACCTTTAGGGTTTACATTTAGGGGGGAACTGGGGACTGGGGACTAGAGGGTACAGGACAAGACCTAAAACATACTGGAATTCATTGCGTCCAGACCTTAGGGTTTATCTTTAGGGGGGGACTGGGGACTGGGGACAGTGGGAACAACTAGAGGTACAGGAGACGCCAAGGTGCGCAGAGACACTGAAAGAGTCTCTAGTCCACCTGCAAATGAGCATAGAATGCATTTCTAAGTATATGACTTAATCAGAATGTCCCGATGATCATCTTTTATCCACTTGTGCAAGTCTGTCGAACTCATGTTCGGATATATCGATTTATCTTTCTATTGCAAATACAATCAATATATCTGTGACCAAGGCCTAAGCGAGCCAAAACATAGGCCTAAGCGAGGTACTGACCATTACATCATGTATAACTCCGACTGCACCTGACGTGTTGAGCTTCCATCCCAGTCCACCCTACACAGCGCTGTCTCTTTATATAGCCGGCGCCGCCGCCAGCAGCAGCAGCAGCAACAACAACAACAACTACAACTACTACTACAACTACTACTACTACTACTACACTACAACAACTACAACAACTACAACAACTACAACAACTACAACAACTACAACAACTACAACTACAACAACTACAACTACAACTACAACAACAACTACAACTAACAGCAGGAGCAGCAGCAGCAGCAGCAACTGATACGATAATCCTTTTTGCAATTTTGCCAGCCGGCAAAAATCTCGAAAATTGCTGACTTTGCCAGACAAAAATCGAAAGAAACTGGACTTGGCGTTGTCATCGTGGCCGCAGGATCGGTAGAGATAGACAAGTGACCAGAATATTCTATATACGTATGTATTACAATATAATCTGGGAAGAGTCTCGACATATGAGTTTGTCTAAGAAAATGGTGTAAATATTATATATCTCATCAAAAAATCGTGTTGACGGGAAATATGGTGATAAACCATGAAATAATTGTGGGCTACCCTATTTTCAAACAAACCCACATGGGCAACCTCCAAACATACAGAATATCATGAATGTGAACCGCCTGAGGAACAGCGAATGTCCAGTTTTCATTAAAATACCTAGCATTCTTGTCTATCTGCTGGTAGTAGAATAATGTACACAATATATGTATGTATATATATATAATTGTCATATCCCCATTTACAGCAAAACAAAATCAGTACTAAACTACACACCCGTCCAGCGAAGAACTCAGGTTGCTGATCATCCCCGCACTTATCTTCCGTCCAATCCAACGGTCCAACGTCGTCGTCGAGCTTCGCCAAGGGAGACGCCACAAGGATAGGATGAGCTGCATAGCAGCCACAAAAAATGGAAGCAAGGGGGTTTTGCAAATGTTTTACCAACATTGTTGTTATTGTAGTGTATATCATCAACCATATCAACCAGTGTCTATTAGTATCATCATATTTAACTACACAAACAAATCTGGGAGCATAAGTTGTAAAAAAATAGACACGCAGCCGGGCAAAACAGCTCATCTCACCTATAAGGCATGTGACGTTAAATCGTGCGACAAGTGTAACGCGTCTATGGGCCAAAAAATTACATCTACCCTCCAAAGAAGCATCAGGTGATCCTCAAAACTGACAAACATCAAGAATCATCTCTGTTCCCACTCTTTTCGAAGAAACATTCAAAAAGAAAACAGAAATCCCAGATGTCCGCCCCCTTTTGGATGATGTTTGACCCACGTTTCTTCCAGCGTCTACATGGAAAAGGCATCGCTCACGTCGCTGCGGTCGCTGCCGAAACTGCCAGTGGTCAGCTGGTAGGGGCACTCCGGGGTGGCCAGGCCCGACACATCACCTGGCAGTTTCCGACCCCGAAACGACATTGGGGAGATATCATGGGGAGCTGTAGAGATATGTATATGATATGTGTCATATATATATATATGTATATATATATGTATATAGATATATACAGATATATATATATATACATATACATATATATACATATATATATGTGTATGTATATACATATATATATATACATATATATATATATATAGATATAGATATACATATACATACATACATACATACATACATACATACATACATACATACATATATATATATATATGTTTGGGGATATCTTTTTTAGAAAAGAGTTTGTTGGGATGCTATTAATGTCATGAATGTGATTCATGATTGGGAAGTGGAACATGTCCCAAAGTTGGAACATTAAAAATAACAGTGTATAAACAATGAATGATTGAAAGCGGAGTATCCAAGGGAAATCGAATTGGGTTTGTGCTCATCAGAGGATTAAACGCAACACAGATAAAAATAGGGATATGATGGGGGTACATAGGCCACGAAAAATGGGATGGCATCACAATCCCAGGAAAAACTAAGGATTTAAGCTTCTGGGTCAGACCCAGTTGGGTGTGCTACAAGTCAGTTGAAGAATTGGGAATTGTGTCGCAATTGCAGAGAATCAACAACAGCTGGGGATATTTTACTAAGGGAAAATCATATATCTGATATACTGGAGGATGATGGGATATGGGATACACACTGGGAATTTATATGGATCAATCTGGATCTTTTTCACCCATCTACTCAATATTGGGGATGATCATCATCCAACTCAGAAGCCCCACTGATATCAATTGACCAACAGAGTTTCGGGGGTTTTGAGGATAATAAAGCCCAATTTATCAAGTTATGAGTCCTGTCTAATGGGTCAATCCCAAACCAGGTTACCAGGGTCAGTCAAAATCCATGCTTTTTTCCTGGCGGCCTAGCCAGATGTTTACTTGGAACACCGACCTAAAAAAATTCACTGCCTGGCGGGCCTGCACTTTTCATGGGTTCTTACCCTTTGTAACGGAGTATCTTCCCACCATGTAACCAGAAGTTACATCCCAGTTCTAGCGGGGCCATATTAATGATTCGCTACCTTGAGGCACAACATCAACTAATATTGTTTGGTGATGTTTGGTACTCAACCACGTACACAAGGACTTACCGCACATGGTCCAGTTGGTTGATAGTGATGTTGAGTATTGACCGTCCAATCTATTCGGAAATGGATTCGGAGTCCAGTTGGATTTGCGAAGTTTGGGATACGAAATGGGCATGTATCCCATGGCGATAAAATGTCGGACCAAATATATAATGGGAAACATCATTGGTATTCTTTGGTCATATCATATCAAGTCCATTCAAATCCCATTTTCTCAATTTTTTCGTTAGATCCATTATATAAAAAGCAACTAAAACCAAAAATAAACACTATTTAAATAATGAAATCCAAATTAAAATAGTGAAATTATGGGATTTTTTTATCGGTTTTTTCGTCACAAAATTTCTTGTCCGATTCAAATCCATTTTTCTTCGTTGTCCAGTTATCCATACAGGATGGGCCCCCAGTGATGTGAATGTTGCTTTATAAACACCATTAACCAAAGAATTCCATAGTTATCTATGGTTAATGGTGTTTGTAAAACTATAGTTTATCTATGGTTATCTATAATTATAGCTATAGTTGTAGTTATCTATCTATAGTTATATCTACCATAAACCAACTATAGTATTCATGGTGTTTATAAACCAACTATAGTATTCATGGTAGTTGTATCTACACCAAATTAACTCTATAGTATTCTAGTTCGTTATCTATAGCTATATCTACCATAAACCATAGAATTCAGCCACAGCCATATCTCAACTGAACTCGCTCTTGGGGGCCCCATCCTGGACTAAAACAATAAGGGTGTAATATGCAAACATAAAAGGTGAATTTCAACCTGACTGAAATTGTTTTTTTGTAGTGGTTAAGCCGGTGAAGCCACTTGTGAAGTCTCCATTTTGCTGCTTAAAACCACCAGTTTTCCCCTGTTTTCCCCTGTTTTCCCCCGTTTTCCCCAGTTTTCCCCAGTTTTTCCCAGTTTTCCCCAGTTTTCCCCAGTTTTTCCCCAGTTTTCCCCCACCTGCAGCGTCGCTATGCCCGGTCTGCCCCGTGCCGTCGCTCCACGCCGCCGTCACCGTGGCCAGCTGGTCGTCGGCCGCGTCACGGACGGTGGCGGCAGCCAGGTCCTGGGAATCTTCGGGAAAAGCTGGGAGACTATCTGTGTGTTATATTATATATATAACATAATAATGAAAATATATAGAATATAATATAAACATATAAGATCTATAATATAATATATATATAGTATATAATATTATATATATAATATATATAATATCAATGGCCATTTCAGGAACCGATTCATTGGAGGTACCGATTCCATATATAAGGCCTATTTTTCAGGCCTATGTAAGGGAATATCCCCACAAAATATTGCCTTATATGGTACAGTACCTCCATTTTACGATCCTGGATTTCCCATTGATTGTATATATATATATTTATTTATTTATCTATTTATATGTATATATAATATAGTATAATATAATATAATATAATATAATATTTATGTCTATATATATATAATAATAATATAATATATATATATATATTTGGTATTGTATAGTATGATATGTTCAGGATGATTCGGATAGTGTTTATGTATTTTCTGATAAATATAGATGTATGTGATATCTGGTATATCCCATATGTAATATGTAGTAATATTATATGTTTGTACTGATACTGTTTATATATCTGATATGTCCCATATGTTTTGTAATATATATGTATATATATATATAGAGTATCCACCAAAAAGAAAAAATGTTAAAAATGGAAATTAAGGGGAAACTATCATCTATACCATACTGGAAACACGTTTCTATCTTCTTGGGGGTTGCTGTACATACATGCATAGATATATAATATTATATATACATATGAAAGTTTCCGATAACCAATTTCAGAGGGGATTGAAATTAGAGGTAAAGTTCGCCATTGACAAACCCAAACACCATATTATTGGTTTATATCCCATTGTATCCCCATGTGAAAATCCTCACGAAATCGCCCCAGTTGATTGTTAGTTGTATATGGAGGTTTCCTAAAATGGTACCGTACCCTATCAGTTCATCCAACTCATTCATGACCAAAACTTCGTATATATTGAAACCCATTGGGGATCCTCCATGATTTTTGTATCCCCCATATTATGTATATATATATACATATATCTAGAATATAGAATATCTGGTACAACTGGTATATCCTTTGTATTCTATAATATTGTATGCAACCAGGACAAACATTCTCGTGTCTCTTCGAGATAAATTTTCTAATATGGTTCAATTAGTTTTACATGGCTTATAATGTATGGATACTGGTGATAGCCAACTATCTAATGTACTTGAAAACAGCCTCACAAAAATGCCGCGCCGCGCCAAAAAAAACAGCCATGGAGGGTAAACATTCGCTGGGAAGATCATCAAACTATGGCAGATTTTCGTTCGCACGCCATGTTTGATGCCACCGGAGGGTAAACATTGGGTTCTACAATGTGGGCCCCCCCCAGCTACAAGTTGGTTTATAAGCCCCAGTAACTATAGTTATAAGTACCATAAACCATAGTTATTGGAGTTATAAACCAACTTAGCTATCTAGGGGGCCCCACTTTGTATGATCCCTGAATTGGTAGCATCAGCGATGATGTACATGATCAGGTGCTGTAGCTGAAATGTTAGCTGTATCTTGCGATTAGTAACAATCATCACCAAAAAACAAATAGATATATAGATATATAGATATATATATATATAGATATATATAGATATATATAGATATATAGATATATAGATATATAGATATATAGATATATAGATATATAGATATATAGATATAGATATATAGATATATAGATATATCTATAGATAAATATAGATAAATATAGATATATGGGATCAACATTGAGAAAAATAATGAAAATTTGAGAGTTTTGGCAGTGAACTGGGGATGGGACTGCTAATTTCGAAGTTTTGAGCAAGAAAAAAATTGGCGGAAACCCATTCTCAGTAGCAAATGAAAACACTATTGGGGGGAATTTGTTTAATAAATCAAACCGGGTATTGTTCTAATCCAGTGTTGACATTGACAATAACAACAAAAGAGGACGTGGATGGAAATCAACAAAAACTCTGAAGGCAAACAACAATGGGATTGAACGGATTGAACCGGGAAAAACCAGCACAACTGAAGCTTTTCTTGGGGATAATGAGGACCTTTGGTCGGACCTTTTGCGAAAATGCAAAATGCTGTCATGATGCACAGTCACCAAAACTGCTGGGTGCAAACAGCAAAAAAACGGTTGGATTTCATCCAAAAAAAACTGGATATATCCTAGATGCTGCATGTATGGAATATTTACCTACGTTTGGGTCGTTTTTGGGGTAAATGTAAGTAAATATTCCATATAACTTAAGTGTCTGGGTATGATCTTTAAACATTGGGTGAAACACCGATCGCGATCCTGGATGGTAGGAACAAACCATTAGGTTTGAACCAAACTATGCGTATGTTCAACAAAAACTGTAGAAAATCCAAGCTCTGAAACGCCAAATCCAGCTTGGAGGAACTGAGCTAAAGGGATTTTCTGGGTTAACGTCAGCGTCACAGCTGACCCTTCGAATGTGAAGGATGAAAAACACTCTGGGCGTTTACGGCGCCCCTGCTTTTCTTCGTGAACCCCCTTCTGTTCTTTGGTAAATCCTTGCGTTTGCTGCTTAAATTGTCATATGTTTCCATGAAATCACCATATATGTTTCCTGTCAAAGCACAGTCTTCCCTTGGAGAAATGTTTGATAAGTCCCATTTGTTTGAATTTTTTCGCTACAGCAAACCCCAAAAAATGCCGAAAAGTAACTTACCACTAGTTAACAGGATTTGACTTTCTATCTTGTGGTGGTTCCTATAACAAAACTCCAAGCCTATGGTCTTAATCAACCACGGTAGCTCAATTCCACGTCTCGCCTTGTAGCGGTGAAAACGCAAGGAAATCTCGGCCACCTGCAGACGAAAGAGGCCATTCAAAGGGCCAAAAATCTGGAGAAATGGAAAATTACCATGCGTGGGAACACCACAATTAAAATCATTAACCACATCGTGCGTACAATGGCCGAAGTTTCGAAGTCAAACTTACGACAATATGGACAGATGGAAAAGCAGAGGTGGTAAGAGTCAGAGAAGGGAAGAGAAGAGAAGATAAGAGAAGAGAAGAAGAGAGAAGATCAGAGAAGAGAAAGAGTCAGAAGAAAAAGTCAGAAGAAAGAGTCAGAAGAAAGAGTCAGAAGAAAGAAGATGCAGGCGCGCGAAAAGGTAGAAAAGTCGCGAAACACTGCGTTTTTCCACTGATTTGTGGCTCCGGCGGATCGAAAAATAAGCTCGCTAAAGCCGCGGGTGCGGAGCCATCTGGCCAGATGAGAGATGAAAAATTGCACGCCATTGTGGCGCGAAGCAGATTTCGAAGTCAAAATGCACAAGACACCTCAGCTTCGGAGCACTTTTAAAAGTTGAGATGTCGAAAAAGTGCACGCCGTTGTGGCGCGAAGCACATGTGGAACTCAAAATGTACAAAACACACCATGTTCGGACCACTTTTGAAGGTTCAGATGTGATTTTAAGTGGCAGGTGCAAGGGATTCTGCACGTTGCCAAAAGTGAGCAAAACGTGAGGGTTTTCTAGCATTACCGCAGGCGTGGGACATTTGCAGAGGATCTGGAAAGATGCATTTCGCGTGGCAGGCGCAGCACAAGAGACATGTTCATCAGAGATGTTAGGAGGTCAGGGTGCTGATTTCCTGAGAGAGGTTGCATTTTGGAGCATCAGATCTTCAGTTTTGGGAAGATGATTTTGTGTGACAGGTGCAGCACTTTGTATGACCTGGCATCACTTTTTCGTGGCAGGCGCAATACTTCAGAGACATGGACTGGAAAAATCGCAAAACGAATTGGCACGAGGCCGTCAGCTCCGCACACAACTTTCCATTTTTGAAGGAAGTCTCGCAGAATTGCTTCGTTTTTGCTGTTGTCAAATTCGAAACTTGAGGAAGTCTCGCAGAATTGCTTCGTTTTTGATGTTGCCACGTTCAAAACTTGAGGAAGTCTCGCAGAAATGCTTCGATTTCAAACTTGCATTGCACAGATAGACAGATTGATAGATAGATCAATTTTCAAACTTGCAGATAGACAGATAGATAGATGTATGGAGATAGATCGATAGATAGATCGACAACTACAAATGCAACTACAACTAACCTACCACGCCAACTACAAATACAAATGCAAATATGCTACGCTACAGTACACAAATTACACTGCACTACACCAATTACACTACACTACACTAATTACACTGCACTACGCTAATTACAGTACAGTACGCTAATTAGACTACAACTAAAACTACAACTACAACTACTATTACTACCACAGCCACAGCTACAACTACAACTACCACTACATTACACTACACTACGCTAATTCCACTACACTACACTACACTACGCTACACTACACTAACGACAACTACAGCTACAACTACAGCCACGCTACACTAGACTACACAACAGAACACAACACTACAGCACTCCACTTTACTACATTACATTACACTACACTCATTACACCACACCACAACTACAATTGCAACTACACTACACTAATTACACTACACTACAACTACAATTCCGCTACACTACGACTACAACTACAATTGCACTACACCACACTACATCCAGCAGTTGTGGGTGAGGTGACCACTGCAATCATTGCAATCACTCCAAAAAGCGCAACTCCAACCACGTTTCGGTCCATCAGTGGATTCGCTCCGCCATCCATGCATCACAACAACTCACCTCTCCTATAGTGTCCTAAGTCCTAACATATTAACATGTCCTAACTTTGAAACTTCCGCCACCGCCTTGTGCGGTACTACTGGTATATAATTTATGCTGTGGCCATCACAATCATGGTTACTGTAACCGTTTTGTGAACAATTTTGTGTCATTTTTGTTCCATACATTTTTCAGAGATCTAGTGAATTAGCAGTAATTAGCATTAATTCACCCATCAGGCGCATTTTGGATCTGATTCACCAGCTGATGGCCATGAAAGCCCAAGGCGAATCAAAAATGCCTGGGAGATCCATCGACTCCATTTACTTTGGGAACCCGGAGGTTATGGAGCAGATGTGGTATTTTCCATGGTATTTTCCATGGCGTCTGTTGTAATCTTACCTACCACCCACTAGCATGGACGTGGAAAATCAGAGGGTTTTAGAGGAAAGGCATCTCTATTATATAATTATTATGGCCATTGTCCATGCCTGATAGTTAGTTGATGGGTGAAGTGGCAGTTAAACAGTTAAACAGACCCAGTATGAACCAGTGCAAACCCCAGAAATCACCCATTTGGGGTTTTTGGCACCAAATAATCATCTCCAAATCAATAATGTCCTTTTGGTAAAAATAGAGGGGTCGGGAGCTGGTATACCATCTATCATCATAGAAACCTGTTGTTATTAATCAACCAACCAATGGAAAAAGGACATCTATGCTCCAAATGATGTTTGCAGGTTTTCCATCGCCACCACCTTGGGTTGACTCTGGGGATTTTTCCAAAATCATCTTCCAAAGATGCTCCAAGATGTCAGTGGCGTCAGTGGCTTATCATGTTCATATTTGGAAATGGATGAATATACATATATATATATATGTGTATATATATATATATTGAATATGTATATATATATATGATAACACTAGTCACTAGACAAACACGGTAAGTCTTCTTTACAGGCGAAATCATCCAAATGTTTCTGCTGGGGTTTCCTGGGTAGCTGCGCAGTATTGGTGAGTTCTGGTGAACTCCACCCCGCTCCTTAAACTGTTCAGAACACAATGTATCAAAGGTTGGGATTGGCGATCTAGATACCCTCTGGTTATTTAACATAGCGAACTGGAAAATTGTTCATTTATAGATGTTTTTTGATGGTTTCCCCATTAAAAATGGTGATTCTCCGCTACGTTTTTTTATAACCAGAGGGTATCTGACACATGTTGATGTAAACGACTGCGCGTTGTCATACGGGTATGTCCAGAAATGTGGGCCAGACGCTTCCGACAAACAAGGGCAGCAGTGGATTGGTCCGTTCCTGTTGATCAAACCCTCAGCATATGGGTCAAAATGCTCCACAAGATGGATAATTACCCTCTGGGAATTTAACGTAGCTATTGAAAATGGCCATTTATAGTTGATTTGCCCATTTAAAATGGTGATTTTTTATAGTTATGTTATATAGTTTACCAGAGGGTACATCCAAAAGTGATTAAGTTGGTGGTTTCTTTGCTACCCCAATTTTGTTCCATACACAGACGAATCCTGGGTGCACATGGCTTTGTCTGAAAACTAGAGCGTTCCATCCCATGTTTTAGAAAATCATATCCCCCATCGTTTACCCTCTGGTAAACATACAAAAAGCTATTGAAAATGGCCATAGAAATAGTGGATTTACCCATCAAAAATGGTGATTTTCCATAGTTATGTAAACGTTTACCATCGTTTAACACTCATAAATTGGGGCCTCCGACGTTGGATTTGCCACATCCAGTCCCTGTACCACCATGGTTCGTAAGTCCCCTTATTCGGGTTGCCCCATTTATATACATATATATATATGTATAGTATATATATATGTTATATATATATATATATATTTATATTATATTATATATATACATATATATATAATACATATATGTAAATATTATATACATATATATATATGTAAATATTATATATAATATACATATTATATATATATATTATGTGTGTGTATGTGTGTGTGTATTATATATATGATTATATATGTATTATATATATATGTATTATATATATATATATGTGTTGGTAATATTCATAGTTACAAGGTCATGCCCCATAGTTAGTTAACTTGGTTTGTAGGTACATCCAACAAGGTGATTATCTGATTATATATCTATAATTGGTTACTAAGAAGATTGTGAATATTACTAACAAACAAGTTATAATATCACCATTCTTGGATTGTAAGGTTTTTAAGTGGGTGTGTCTGAAAATAGTGTACCCCTTTTTACCCAATGGTTTTGCTGATCATTATCCCGTTTTTAAATGGCTATTTCATTGGGAATATATCCTATTTTCAGACAAACCCAAGTAGCTTCAGGGCAGCCTCGCCTGCTTCTTCTGGAGGGAATCCGACGCCAAGGGCGAAAAAGGCAAGGCCACGACGTTCAGAAGCCGTCGATAAACCTGAGCGACGAAAACTACGACGATAGCTATTGAAGCCATGGCCCAGTCGAAATAGTGGATTTTCCCATGAAAAATGGTGATTTTCTTTCCATAATCCCCAAATAGGATAGGAAAATCCCTAGTAATTTGATGGTGATTCACTTTTCCATCTATTTGGGGATTACTATAATGCTGGAAACGCTGCTGTTTGCTGGCGGTTGGCCTTGATATCAACGGTAGAAAATGTGGAATGTCAACGGAAGATGAAAACGACCCGTTGCGTGGATTGTAAACTTGAGAAACTTCGTGGATCGTCATTGGTCATTTTCTGGGGTGACTCGAGAAAATAAATCATCAACCGTGGACTGTCCACCTTAAATAGTGTGCAGTAGGCGACCAAAATGGGCCTTTAATCGGCAAAACTGGGAGATGTAGCTGGAGATGTAGTCAGCAAAAATAGATAGATGACCTGCAAAATAGATCTTCAACCAGAAGGTACAATAAGATCACCAACCATACTGGTGCTGTGCCTGGTACGTGTGATGAAATGGATATGTCCTGCCACTCCAGCCTCGGCATCTTAGCCAAGTAGGGGGGTCGTCTCTAAAAGCAAAAACCATCAACAAACAGCGCCCAGAAACCATGGTTTATTAGGCGATTTGCACATATTTGAAACCATTAAGGGGTGACTAAGGGGCGCTTAATATTTCGGGAATGGGATTAATTAAGAGTGAATCGAGGGAGATATTCACTCTCGTCCAGGATGATTGTATATGAGTAGCTATAAGAATGAAGACATACTCATCATACTCAACAACCAAGAGCTTGTAAATGTCAAGTACTCTTAGGAGAAAAACAAATTACATCTCCCAATGTCATAAAAAACACCTTCCTCGCAGGGTTGTGAATGTTGTGAGTTTAAATTGGGGGTTACAGCAATCAAATTCCTGAGTGAAAGCCACCATGTGGGCATTGGACATTGGTTACAATCATCGATAGCAGAAAGCCTGAATATGCCTATCTTTGCCTCATTTTGATGGAGGCTTTGGCCATGGCCAGTGTTCCAAATACCTTTTGACATTGAGAATCTGCCCTATATATATATTATATAATTATTGGACCAGCAACCGGGCTACCGAATCTAGCGTTTACCAGGGCGTTTACCGTTGTTTCTCACAGCTGGATGACACATTCGTCAACGGTTGGATCCTACACCAAATGTTTCGCGTGACACTGAAGATGTCACGTGCCGATTTCTGGGTGGGACACTGTCCCCGAGTGGTAAACGTTTACATAGCGGACTGGAAAATCACCATGTTCAATGGGAAAATCAACTATTTCTATGGCCATGTTCAATAGCGAACTGTTGAATTACCAGAGGGTGAACCCCATTAACTATCATTAATCATCACTAATCACCATAATGGCTATGTAACTTCGTTAAGAATCAACATGGCTATGTAAAACAAACGTCTCTGAGAAGAATTGGTGAATTGGTCACTCTGCAGCCATGGCATCTGAGGAACCGTTTGAGTCATCTGTTGATTGTCGTCCTTGGATTGCATCTCCGCACGGATCTCCGTACGGATCGAGATATAAATTGTTTGCAGGAAAACCCCATATTTAATGGGAAGATCTGTGGTTTCCTGTAGATTTTCCCTTAAACCAATCCATTGAACTATTTTTTGATGGTGAAATATGGTCTGGTTGGTGGTTTACCTGTTTACCTACCCCTCTTTTTTCAATGATGGAGTTAGCTCGTCAGTTGGGATGATTTTCCATTCCCAACTGAATGGGAAGTCATAAAAGTCATGTTCCAGTCACCACCAACCAGTGGTTTTCCATGGTGTTTTCTATCTGATTCTCTTGGGAGGTCTGTGTAGATGTAAATCTTTGGACTGGGCACGGGCACTTAAAGTCCCTGATGTACTCATGACTGGGGGCTTTAACCCAAATGTTTGGATGGGTAAAGTTAGCTATGAAATTACATGAAATGACTGGGGGAATACACATCCAGCGATTTTAACATCTATTAACCAGCTATAACTTTGAAAGTAATTAATGACCTAAGTTCACAGGGTTGCTCATGGCCAAATCCTAAAAATCCACCGCTAAATCTAGTGGTTCTAGCAGCTACCTTTTTCCATGGTCACCGTCAGTGGTCGCACATGTCTGTCGGTCCACCCCTTTAAGGCGAGCAAACATAGCGGAAAAATAACCACCCACTTTTACTACAATGTGGGGCCCCCAAGATAGCTAACTTGGTTTATAACTCCATCCCAGTAAACCCAGTATTTTAACACCATCCCCAATAGAGGTTTATGAACTTGGGTACAATGTGAGGCCCCCAAGAAAATAGCTAAGTTGGTGAACATAACTCCAATTTCACTATGGTTTATGGTACACAAATAACGAACTAGGTACTGGGGCGAATCTAAACCAACGTTCACATCACTAAATGGCCTCACATTGTAGGCTAAGATCCAATGGGATCATCGTCCAATACCAACACCACTCTTTTTCAGGAGTTCCACCCCACCACCCGAGACCATTTTGCCACTGCTTTGTCGATAGTTCCGATAGTTCCCTGGATTTTCAGAGTGTCATTACATGTCATTACCAGCTGGCATGATCCAATGATCCATCATTTTACACCATGTCTGGACCATTCGACCCCATGTCTGGGCCATCAGGGCTAGGGTTTAACTGTTTAACTCCCAATTTTTGGTTTTTTTTCATTCGCAGTCAACCTTAAGGTCAACTGGGTGTTGCCGTTACCGGTCAAAAAAAAAGTGTAACCGCCAAAAAGATAGAATCATGATTCATCACTGTTTGGCCTGTCTAAAGATATGCTACCCCATTCCGTCCATTGGTTAATCATCATGTTCCCTATTGAAATGGATATAACTGGGCTATACATGGCTATACCATATTTTCAGACAAACCCAAGAATCAGATTGTTGGGTTGCACATCCCCATGAAATATCCCCATTATATCTGTAGTCTATCCCTATTTTTTGTCAGTCTAATCCAATTGTCTTGATTCAAGTCATCCCCATGTCTTAATCCCCATCTCCCCATGTTTTACTCCACTGGATCCCTAGTATTAAAACCATTTGAAACCACTGGATCAACGATGAGAAACGATGATAATCATAAACCACCTTGGTGAGTCGGTCTTTTGGGGATTCCCCGAGTATATAATAACCATCATCTATGGTGAGGTCGCAGTGAGATCGCTATCATTTATCCAGATATATACATATATATATATTACATATATATATACATTTTACATACGTATTACACATATAGGGAAATGATATGATGGAAAGAATCGGTGTTGATTTTCCCTGCAATGTCTCAATCTGACAAGGCTCCAGCTGGTCCACTGAGTCGCCACTTCTGGAGCGGCTGAGACCTGGAAAAAACCGTCGATGCGTCACGGCTGTGCTACACGACGGTGCTCGTCACGATGGATGCGTCGCTTATTTAACCGTCATCAAGATGGATGGAGAGATGAGAAAATGGTGATTTTCCTGGTAAACATACAAAAAGCGAACTGGAAGCCATGGCCCAGTCGAAATAGTGGATTTACCCATTGAAAATTGTGATTTTCCATAGTTATGGTAGCTTACCAGAGGGTAGCTTCGTAGATTTTTAATGGGAAAAGTTGATGAATCATTAAATGATGAACTTCGATGAACTATAAAACTTTGGGATACCATATGATACCTATGGGGAAAATACTTTTTTTTAACCTGATTCACTATAAATGAAATTGTCAGATACCAGATTTTCAGACCAGCCGCGCCCCGATTTTGTTGAGATCAAATTGGGGGATCAATTTGCATACTTCAGGAAGCGCCCCTGTATGGCAAACAAGATATGGATGTGGGTCAAAATGGAAGACCTAGGGGACCACAGATGTGAATGTCTAGTTTAGTATTAACCATCCAATTATTGGGGTACCTAATTTTGACCCATAGCCATATGAAACAACAATGTCATTTAATCATACTTAGAACATCGCTCCTAATGCACTTGGCACGTTGAATCCTCAAGCGCTATGTGAAAATTCATCTTGCGAGAGTGAATCAAAGGGCCTTTGGGTTTGGCCACCAAGAATCTTGGAATATGTGGGTGTTTCTTAAAATGGACCCCAATATCATCCAATTCTTTGTCATGCTTGATATTGAAACCAATGGTTGGTCCTCCGCAGTCCGTGGCTTCATGACAAGTAAACCGTCTGCGATGTATTCATTGCGAAAAAAGGGAGATTTCATGGTTGAGAGAGCCATGTATTTTTTCAATGTGTTTTACCCTCTGGTAATTTAACATAGCTATTGAAAATCACCATTTTCAATGGGAAAATCCACTATAAATGGTCATTTTCAATAGCTATGTTAAATTACCAGAGGGTATCACAGATAGAAGGTGTCCTGCAAGGTAAGTGTGGCCAAACACCTAAAAATTGAGCTGCGAGATGGTCCACATGTCAAAACCATGGTGCCCTTCTATGAGATACCCTGCTGTTCAGATTCTAAAAAGTGATTTTCCATGCCCTCTGGTAAACTAACATAGCTATCAAAAATCACCATTTTCAATGGGAAAATCAACTATAAATGGCCATTTTCAATAGCTATGTCAGTTTACCAGAGGGTAATTTCTGGATCAAAAGCCAATACACCATGCGGGGGGGATTGGATGGGGGTGGAACCACTAATTTTCATCCAAGTTTTGGTGGTGGTGAAATTTGATGCTTCACCCAAGAATGGGTCCCATCTATGGCCGAAAAGGCACTGAATTTTGACCCAAAATTAAGGTCGGTCGGAAAATGATGAGAAAACACCATCCCATCCACTGATGAATCATCGTTTTCCCTGTGAAAACTGCAATCTTGTCATCTTCTCCGTATGATGATATCAACAATTCTGCTGGTGAATCACCATTTTCCACTCGGCAATCAACATTTCAGACAATCTTAAAATATTATGTATATATATATATATATGTACCATGTTAGTATGTTGGTTGTGTAAATATTCCGTTGAATCCCAAAAGTTAACTTTTTTTGGGGTCTCAACAGCTGGATTTGATCATGTTCGGCTGAAGACTTCGATCCTCGGAATCCGAAGCATGAAAAAAAACATGATTCGGATGGGTTCGGTCACAGTGAGGTCACAATTATATAATTTACCCAGATAGCCTCTGGTTATGACTGACAGTTTGCTATTGAAAATGGCCATTGATGGTTGATTTGGCCATTCAAAAGGATAATTTTCCACGGCCACGTTAGTTTACCAGAGGGTATACCCTCTGGTAATTTAACATAGCTATTGAAAATGGCCCATTTATAGTGGATTTTCCCATTAATTAAGAATGGTGTTTTTCCATAGCTATGTTAGTTTACCAGAGGGTATATCCACTATTCATTAATCAAATCAATTCGACATCCCACGTCCGCACCACGTGCTGCCTAGGAAGTCGAAGTGTGTGTCAGCAACCACCTGTTTTGAAGGTTCCGGTTCCGGCAGCCCAAATCATTTGAGCCAATAAAAATACCCCTATCCCATCTCATTATATGGCAGTGTGTCAAAACCCTGGTACCCCTGGTGAACCTCAAAATAGCTGGTAAATGGATGTTCATCCCATTAAAAATGGTATTAATAGGTATTGATCCATACCCATATTAGTTCGTTGATAGGTTTCCCTACTATGGGTTATCATAATCCCCCGTAAACCAGCTAGTATAGTCTCCTATAGCAATCAATTAACCAGGGTATTTTTGATGGCTCATCTGAGGATGTTCCATTTAGGAAACCAACGTTTTTGTGGTACCCACGACTTAGGAACCCCCCAAATCCCAGCTTTTTCCGGATTCAAGAAACCTGCTACTGTAATTTTTGTATGTTTATGGATTTGTTTTGGCAAAATTAGGGAATGTGTCCAAATCCGGAATGTTTGTGGAATGTATGGGAAAAACCTAACGGCCATTTTGTGTGTGGGAATCATAAAACAGAGGGTAAGCGCAAAAGTATTTGGATTTTTGGATTTACCATTTGGTTTTGACTAACAGTTCGCCATGGAAAATCACCATTTTCAATAGGTAAACCATCTATTTCTATGGGCCATGGCTTCCATGGCTATGTTAAATAACCAGAGGGTACAACGAATGCTCAAAATCTTTGTGAAGGAAAGGCAAGATCTGCCCATGTACAAATAGCAGTAGAAACCACAGAGGTGAAAATAGAAAAAGTATATGCAAGTATGGGTCAAAAAAAATGGTATAGCCAAATTTCATGATTTCACAACATCAACATAAAAATGTGTAAAATCGCAATTTTTGACCCAGCTAAAGTGCTAAACCAGGAACTGTCACGACCTCGAGGCTTCGTTCAATGTCGGGGTCAAAGGCACATTGCAAAATATTGCCAAGTCCTAGGCGCATTGACACCAACCTCTGGGCCAATGGTGGGGGCCAATGTTTTTCACAAAATGCCCTGGTGGCGTTTTAGCACCGTTTTTTTGGAGCCTGAAAAATGGGGAGATCTCACCGACTTTCGCCAAGGTGTCTCAGTTTCTGGGCATAAAAAAGGGCTACCGAGGTCCAAATGGAAGTTTCCTGAAAATAGGGGCTACCTGAAATGGATGGTTTTTAAGGGAAAATCCCATGAAAATTGATGATTTAGGGCTAACCCCTAATTTAGGAAACCTCCAAAGAATCATTCCGGGCCCGACATCGAATCCCTTCACTAACGAAAAGGGGAGATGGTCACTCATTGCGAGTGTTGTGGAGAACCCAAGACCATACACATCATACACCAGGCTGGAAAATCCGACTACTACCCCGAGTGGGCATGGTGTACGACATTGGGTTTACGTCATTACCATTGGGTTTATGTGTTTAATGGAGATCAAAACCTGCCTGCAACCGCTCGATAAGTATAAATCTCATGTTTTTCGTCGGCCCGGTGTGTGAAATCCACAACTTGGAACCATCCTGCAATTCAGGACCTATCTTTTTTTTACGTGATGCATTCAAGCCGCCTAAAAGCAATCCATGCCTTTTACGCTGCCGGGCATCGTTGATCTTGGAAGACGCCGCGGAAAAGAAGTACCACCAAATAGTAAGCCCGGGGTCTCCACCTCTCCATCTGGCGACTATTCTGTGCCACCGCACATTCCTCGGTGATTCCAGGACGGAGTCAGCTATCCGATACTACGCTGTGGTGAGTATCACATGTATCACTTTCTCTTCACTACATTAATAATGGTTAATAATGGTTATATAATGGTTATATAATGGTTAATAATGATTAATAAAATCTCTTGTTTGAAATTCTCTTGTTTTGACCCTCTCTGTTATTCCTGTGAGTCCCTTTCTACTCTCTACCTCGATCCAAGCCCTGCAGTGATGCCAGGTTCAGGTTCAATGCTGCCATGTTAACCGTTGCGAGCATTTCATCCTTTGACCCATATTGCAATACTAACCGTGCATACTACGCGTGTCAAAAACGCGTTTCAACATTTTCCCAGCGCCTTTGAGAAATCCCGCATTTGTTGAAGTTCGTTGTGTCCCACACTTGGGGGGGTGACTCTTGGCACGGAAACCTCTTGTTGGAGACTCTTTCGAAAAAGGGGTACCACTGGTGACGCAAAGTCAGCCGTGTTCTTTTCAATTTCACATCACACCATATGGAGGTTTCCAGAAGGGTAGCCCTAAATCATCCATTTTAATAGGATTTTCCCTTGTAAACCATCCATTTTGGGGTACCTCCATTTATGGAAACCCCCATATCGCACCTGATGCGGAAAAAACAAGAGGCCAATCTCCACAGAACCAGACATCAAGCCTAGGGCCTGGTTTGCGCCACCAACATCTGGTTAGACCAAGCCAGCTTCAAAAACTTCCCCAAATGGCCCTTGCGAATATCTGTAATTCATTCATTCAGTCAGTCCTTCGCAACCTGGGAAACCATATCCCTGTTGGTCAAAAATCACCACATGGAGACTGTCTGTTGAAAGCACCATTTTTTCAATGGGAATTCCAGGATCCCAAAATGGAGGTACTGTACCATATAAGGCCATATTTTGGAGGGATATCCCCTTACATAGCCCTGAAAAATAGGCCTTATATATGGTAGGTACCTCCAATGAATCGGATCCTGAGTCATGGCCATTGATTTTTGTCGCTGAAGGGGCATCCCCAAAAGAATCACTTGCCATGTTTTGCCATGTTTGGCCGGTCTCCGATCCGGTATCCCCTGAGATTGTTTTTCGTTGCCCAGCTTCCACCTGCAAGTGACTTTGCAGCAGACATTGAAAGACTTCGCACGCAGAAAGCGCCTCGAAAACGTTTTTAACTTCGCGAATCGGTTACCCTCTGGTAAACTAACATAGCTATGGAAAATCACCATTTTTCATGGAAAAATCCACTATAAATGGTCATGTTCAATACGAGTAGCTACGTTAAATTACCAGAGGGTACGAGGGTTGCTAAATTATGGTGACTCAGTGACCAAAACCCATAGGGATTCAACCAAAACCAAGCCGCTAAACCAGGGGTGAAACAGTTGCTCCCTCGTAGCTACAAAGTGGGTAATAACTAGGTCCAAGTTTTGGTGTATCCTCAATATTTCTCAATTGGAGTAATGGATTCTATAAAAGTGATGCAGCGATTTTTTCACAGTTACAATTTGAAGTGTAGAAAAACTAATGGTACAAAGTTGGGGATGTAGTTGGGTTGGATGAGGTTTTTTCCTATCTAACATTATCTAACCACCTTTTTTGTAGGGATAATTTTCGATATACTCCAGCAATTTTGACTCTCGGTGCACCTCCGCATCGGTGACGCAGCTGGTGATCAAAATGCGGGCGCCGTTGGGATTGTAGTGCTTTCCTCCAAACGGGGATGGTTCATGGGTCATGACTGATGTCCCCTATGGGTCACATCACCCAACCATGAATGGTATATGGTCTACTAGATGGCTACTATGGTTGGTGATGTCCAATATATCCAAAATGGGACAGTTTCCAACCCCTGTGGTTGACCAAGCCTTATCCAAGAATCATCACAACATATGGCAGTGTGTCAAAACCCTATACCCCTGGTGGACATCAAAATAGCTGGTAAATGGATGTTCATCCCCCTAAAAATGGTATTAATAGGTATTGATCCACTGCCATATCACAACTGGGATGGAAAATGCAGCATACAGAAGAAACATCTTGAAACCATCAACCAGAAACACTGTCAAATGCGTGGGTTGGTTAGCGAACAAAATGGTGGTTTCTTTCCTCGGATGAGATCACCCTCTGGCAATCAAGTCCGCAAGTCAAAATCCCTATTTTGAGGAGGAAAATGATCGGCAACAGGTCTATCTTCCATTGCCAGGTTAGGTACTTTTTGTCGGAAAAAAAAGCGGGAAAGAAAAACATCTTCGCTGCAAGCCTAGCCCAAAAGTTGTGGAAAGGTTGCGTAGTTCCAAATGTCTATGTAGCTAAACATGTATAGGTACGTATATGTACATGATTGTACATATGCATATCCCATTCAAGATGTTGTTCAGAGGGGGTGGCAGATTTGACCTCTCAAGAAAAGTGCTGGGCGAACGCGAACGTCCGGCTTGGTTTTACAACATGTTTTCTCTTGCAAAAAATCAATGGGAATTCCAGGGTCCCAAAATGGAGGTACGTTAGTACCATTTTTCAGGCCATATGAATTGGGGGTATATCCCCTTACATAGCCCTGAAAAATAGGCCAAACATATATGGTACAGTAGGTATCTCCAATTTTTATCGGTTCCTGGGTCATGGCCATTGAAAAAATTGCAGTGTGTCAAAACCTTGTACCCCTTCTGTTCACATCAAAATAGCTGGGATTTATGGATGTTCATCCCCCTAAAAATGGTATTTTCATAGGTATTGATCCATACCCATATTAGTTCGTTGATAGGTTTCCCTACTATGGGTTATCATAATCCCCCGTAAACCAGCTAGTATAATCTCCTATAGCAATCAATAAACCAGGGTAGTTTTTATTGATCCATACCCAAATGACAAAAAGAAAACCAGGTATGGCCCATATGGCCATCCTGCCGGCCACAATCTGTGCCGAGGTGGAAGAGCTCGGTAACTCCACACGGTGCAACAGGTCCACCACCACGGCTTCGCGACGCCAGACCTCAGAATGGGCAGTTTTTTGGGTGCCAAAAACCGTCAAAAACCCATGGGAAAACCGTGGAACACCGTAAGTTGGGATATGGGGGGCCTGAAATTATGGTGAAATATATTCACTTAGGTCACTGGAAGTGGAAGTCGACCCCTCTTTTCATGGTGTTGAAGCTCTGTTTCTGATGCATTTTTCCTAGGCAAATCCACCCATCTGCCTCCAACGACCAACTGAGGCCCGGACTCGCCCGAACCTGGGCATTCGCAGGGGACTCAGCTCCTGTTGCATCCAGCGATACGCCTGATGTACGTCCTGACGAAACACGGACTGGGTAGTGCTTGGAGACATTGAAAAATCAATGGGAAATTCAGGATCCTAAAATGGAGGTACTGTACCATATAAGGCCATATTTTGTGGGGATGTTCCCTTACATAGGCCTGAAAAATAGGCCAAAAATATATGGAATCGGTACCTCCAATGAATCGGATCCTGAGATGGCCAGTGAAAAAATGGAGGAATCATCTGAGATGATGAAAATTCTAGATGAAGATGGGAAATCTTGAGACATGAGGATCATGAGGACAGCTATTTTTTATGATAGAAACTTTGAATGGACATCCCCCTTTTTTCAGCTGGAAATCTTGACATGACAATCATCAACGATGGCTGGGGTAGTTGAGCAGCTACGGCCGCATCCCAGGATGAAAAATCAGGTCATCCTGAGGTTTTTGAAGCCACCAAGCATTGGCCATTTGTCGGGCCATTTGGAAAAGGCCACGCATTGTTTTGGGGGTTCAAGGTGGTGCCCCCTCCAGTTAGAAATTGGTTATAAAGCCATTAACGATAGATATATCACCAACAAAAACCATAGTTTTTGGAGTTATGTTCACCAACTTAGCTATCGTAAACGGGGGCACCACCTTGTTCAATTCAGCTTCAAAGGCGTGGCGAAATCGTGTTTCTTCACACCGGGAATCGTAGCCGGTAAGTCCAACGTTACTGGGATAAGCCACTGGGACAGGCTGGTGGGTGGACCCCTTGAAGAACTGGGAATCCCCGATCGAGGGTTGCTCTAAGGAGCTAACCACCAAAGCCTTGGGCCACACGGAAAAAATGAAAAAATGCTAGCAAATGATCACTGCTTGGAGTACCAACCAAGAATCAATATGAATCAGGCTGTCGGAAAAGCCCATGGACAATCCACATCACATTACCCTCTGGTAAACTAACATAGCGAACTGGAAAATCACCATTTTCAATGGGTAAATCCACTATTTCGACTGGGCCATTTTCAATAGCTTTTTGTATATTTACCAGAGGGTTGGTGGTTTCCATAACTATAAATCACCATTTTCAATAGTTATGTACCAAATTACCAGAGGGTAGAAACCAAATCAAAATATCAAATTGATCATCAAATCAGAAATCGACCAAATAGATCCAAAGTCAGACGGCCTTGTTTTTTTCGAAAAAACAGCTTTGCTGCCGGTAACTGAAAGCCATGGGGGTACCCCATTTATACGCTGGTTTATAAGGAAAAATCCATCTATAAATGGATGATTGGTTGGTGTATAAGGAAAAATCACCCTATTAAAATGGATGATGACTGGTTACTGTACTCTGGATGAATGGATGACTCGTATTTCAAGGATCACAATACTCTTCAATATTGGGAAAATCCAACAGATTCTCCAACAGATATAAAAATTACACAAATGCCCACGAAAAAATCCACCTATGACTTACCCTCTGGTAAACGTTTACATAACTATGGGCCAAATCACCATTTTTCATGGGAAAATCCACTATAAATGGCCATGTTCAATAGCTATGTTAGTTTACCAGAGGAACTATGGAAAATCACCATTTTTCATGGGAAAAATCCACTATAAATGGCTTTTCCCCATTTGCTGCCTGCAAGGAAATGCCGTAGTTCGCCAGCATCTGCATCTGCTCTGGGTCCCAATAACCGGCCAAGACCTCCCCAGCGCGAAAAAAAAAAAGCCCGAGAGTTCTACGACGACTCGGAGATTCAACGGGCGATGCATGTGTGTATATATGGATATATATATATAAGATTTTATTATACTGTTTTAGATTATACTATACTATATGTTATGTTACTATATTATATTATATTATATTATATTATTTTATATTATTTTATATTATATTATATTATATATTATATTATATATTATATATTATATTATATATTATATTATATATTATATTATATATTATATTATATATTAATCTTCTCTCTTCTAAATTTATATAATCCCTTCTCTTCTCTCTTCTCTTCTCTTCTCTTCTCTTCTCTTCTCTTCTCTTCTCTTCTCTCTTCTCTTCTCTCTTCTCTTCTCGTCTCTTTTCTCTTCTCTTCTCTCTTCTCTTCTATCTTCTCTTCTCTCTTCTTCTCTGTTCTCTTCTAACTTTTCTTCTCTTCTTTTCTCTTCTCTTCTCTTCTCTTCTCTTCTTTTCTCTTCTCCTCTCCTCTCGTCTCTTCTCGTCTCGTCTCATCTCGTCTCTTCTCTTCTCTTCTCTTCTCCTCTCGTCTCTTCTCGTCTCTTCTCTTCTCTTCTCTTTTCT